ATCTTCGTACCTGACTCTGCCCACTCTGCCTCCTTGGGCAGGATCGTACCCAAATGGACATTGGGCACCAGGCGCCATGATAACCTCCCCTTTACTTCATCGCGGAGTCGCGGGGCTGACGCTAGGATTTCCTTCAGGGTCATGAGGTCATTATGCCCTTCCAGCAGCCAGTCAATCACCTTCTCTACATCAAATCCCTCTTCCAACCGGACCGCGTATTTCTTCTTTTTGGGCGGTCCGTCATGTATGACCGGTTCGGCCTCTCCCCTGGTTCCCTTTTTCCTTGCCCGCTGCTCCGCTCTCTGATCCTCTTCTCCGCGCAGCCTCTCGTCCTCTTCCTCTTCATCATCGTCGTCCTCTACTTCCACAGCCTCTTTCCTTCTCCCTGGTTCGTGTTTTCCCCTTGGAGGCTCTTGGCTGGTACTAGCCTTGGCTTGATTTCTCGTTCGCGCTGCCTGTGCCAGCCGGGCCTGCGGAGTGAGGGGTCTCCCCCTCATTCCTGGTTGAGCGCACGACCCCACCACATTTACTCCGGGTCGCCCAGGCGCTGACTCCGGGCCGGAGTCATAGAGGAATACTGTGGGGACATTAGACTTCCATTCTTTCACTCCTTCACAGAGGCCTACCAACTCCTGTTGGTACCTCCCCATCTTATCCAGCAAGTCCTCCATCTTCTCAAATAAGACGGACAAAGGCTCCGTTCTTTCCTCCTCATTCCCGTCATCTGACTCAATGATTATGGCCTCTTCCGTCTCACTTCCTCCTCGCAGCCCTTGAGTCACTTCCTCATCGCTCCCCACTTCTTCCACCCCAAACGGTGGTTTCTCCTTTTCCTGCCATAGCCTGAACATGGAAGGGGGTGGTGGCCCAGCTGCCGCCCTTCGCTGGGCTTCCGCCCTCACCCCTCCAAGCCTTCTGTCAATGGCCTCCCCAAACTGATCGTAGATATTCCCATCCATAGTAGAGGAAATCAGTCCGCTTCTCTCGTTTTCCCGTCTTATATTACAGAACCTTATAGTGTGGCCCTGCTGGTCACAATGTTGACAGATGACCGTCTTCCAGTCAAAGCGGGGTCTTCCATACCCCTGACTTCCTTGATCCCCTCGGCCTTGATAGCCCTGGCCTTGGTACCCCTGGCCTTGACTCCCTTGGCCTTGGTACCCCTGGCCTTGACTCCCTTGGCCTTGGTACCCCTGGCCTTGACTCCCTTGGCCTTGGTACCCCTGGCCTTGGCCATTCCATTGCCTTCCTCTTCCGCCGCCATTCCTGCCTCGCCCCTTTCCTCCACCCCTCCCTTCACTGAATTGATTGCCCTGCCCCTGGTTCCCACCTCCTACAACACTGCCCTGTGAACTGGGATCAGGTGACGGTGGCAGGGCCACAGGTTGGGCCTGGGCCGCGCGGTAGATGGGTGGTGGCACACTCGTTTGTGGTCCGGCTACTGGCGGCGTGCTTCCCCATGGCACAATTGCGTTGATCACCGGCCAGGGCTACTGTCCATAGGAGGGCGCCCCACCTTGCGAGGGGCCCGTAGTAGATGATGGAGCCGCCACATTTAAAGGGGCTGCTACCTGGGCCTGATGCGCCTGCGCTTTTCCTGATCCTTGTCCGCCCTGCGCCAAATTACGCACTTTGCGCTGGACCTTCGTCAGGTGCTGCGGCACGGGCTCTTCCTCTTCCCAGAGCTCCTCCTGACCAGCCTCCTCTATCACTGACTCTTTTCCTTTTACTTTAACAGCCATCACCACCCTCCTTTGCACCACCGGCTCTGTCGCATACCCTAGCTGTGCCAATACGTCTGTAACAATCCTTGTTACTCCTGGGGTCCCATAAGCGGTCGCATCTCTTTCCTTTCTTTTCTGTCTTTGCAGGCGTACCTGATGTTGTTCCACCTGGTCCAAACACCCAACTTCCACCCCTCTGTCAATGGTGGTCCAGGTGAGCTTAGTGCTACATCCTCCATGTCTCGTCAATTCGACGGTCTCCGATGCTGTGAGTAGCCCCAGGAAGATGGCGCACTGTGCTTCCTCCGAAATCCCATGGACCTTCCGCGCCCTCTTCTTAAATTCTTGAACAAAGGCCCCTATAGTCGTAAAATCCTCTTTGTTCATCGCTTCAAGGTCCGTAGTAGTCAACAACCCGTCTCCCAGGCGGTATTTCCTCTGCATCCCCTCCTTGAACCTCTCCCAGCTACCTTGAGCCGCATCTATGATTTTCTTCACCTCCTGATAGTAGCTATGGAGGACATACTGAAGGATGCGTTGAAACTTTACAACATCCGGCCGCCCGACCAAAGCTTGTTCCACCCGCTCTAGCCATTCTGAGACTCTCTCCCCACAGAAATGGAAAGTATTGACCTTTGGGATGTTACTCGGGTTCCTTTCATGTCGGTCGATGGCCGCGATGAGGTCATCGAGTGTCAGGCCCTTCTTGGGAACAACTGATGCGCTGCCAGTCTCAGGCATCTTGACAGCCTCTTCTTTTTAAGTTCCCTGGCAAAAGAAAACAAGCACATCCCCTTTATTCAACATTAAACCTTGACCGGTCTATTCCATCCGTCCTACCTAACCCTTAGTACTTACTTTACCCAATGTTAACACGATCGTCCCTCATACTTCCTCTACTTGGGTAGGTAAATTCCTCACCTACACTTAGTCATTCATATATTCCTTCATTACCTTCTCATCACTCCTTTATGCCTTTTTTTATTCACTTCTCATACCTGGATATCGTTCCACCAGGGACAACGGTAGGCTTTCCGCTGTCCCCGGCAACGGCGCCACCTGTCGGGCGCATCGGTCCGGCACCGCACGGGGGCAGCGCGGGACCCTCCCGGCCGCGTCACGCAGGAGTTGGTTTTTAGAACCCTTCGTCGCAATATACATGGAGCTTCCACAAGCCGCTCCGGCCGGGTGCGCCA